GTACGACGCCCATCCTTCTTCCTCTTTGTTTTACTCATCGACGCCACACAACTGACGTGTCTGGTGCATAAAACCACCGCCCTTTTTCGTTCTTTTTTCATTGACTACTGCTTTACTAATTGTGTTTGGAGGTAAACCACCTGTTCATCTGTTAAATATATTAAAAACCTATGAAGTTGGAGCGGTACAGACGATCAGAAATAGAGCCAAGAGTGGGTAACGCAATTTGAGAAATGGTCACCTATCTCAAAATGGTAAATGAGTCAAATGATCACGCGAGAGTAGACGCAAGTAATAAATAAGGAGTGCATTTCGATACAAAAACGTTGTGAAACCCAATTTGAACGAAAAATGTTGAGATGGATGCCTTCGCTTGATAAAACCCTAATGAGGAAATTTTTACCAATAGTCCTCTTCTTTATATGGCAGTACATCAAGACATATCGCTCATGAGAAGTTCTCCCATTCGTGAATGCTTACGGTAACAGAAAAGGACCCACCAACTGTGGCGGCATGCAGATCCTGATCGAAAGAATGCAAGCCACACAAGACATGCCGTAACCACACTAAGGCTATGGAATAATTTGTGTCTCTAACGTTCCCCTTCTCAGGAGTGGTCGAAACAGTCGCTTCAATCAGCGATATCAAATCACCTTCAGGCAGAATTTCATGCTCTTGTGGCGACTGAAGAACAAAACATCAATATAAGAAACTTATAATAATCTCCGTGAAACCTGCCTCGGAAAAAAACTCTTCAACTTCAAGCACATCCTTTTCCTCTTCAGTTTTTGTTCGATAAACGAAATCTTTCTCTGCCGCTTTAGCAACATTCTTTTCATACCTGCAACATTTGCGGTTAGGATCAAGCGTCACTGTGTCACGACACTGAAGTAAGAGGATAAGGAGGAGAGGATGCCAGTATAAGGGGGTTTGAAGAGAAAAAACGTCCAACAATAAAAACAGCACAGATCTTTGTCGATGTAGGAGAAGTTTATAAACATCATCTAGAGTTTTTTCGCCGGAAATTGTTTGAAGTGTTCCTGCTTAATGTATGGTAAAAAATATTGAGAATGGAAAAAATAAAACGAATATTACTACTTGAAGTATCGATTAAAAACTATATCGACAATTTTTTAGATGGAACTATCATAATATTCGCGGCTTAATCCTGTACAATATCGTAGTTTTTACAGAACTAAAGTAAGGCGTGATAAGACTATAAAAGTGTCCAAGACAGTCAACACTATCTCCTAATTCAATGTATGTGTGTCAAAGCTTAGTCCAGACAGGTGAGAATTTGCCTTCGAAAGTATAATATATACCCAAATATTTATTCTGCTTTGAAAAATTCCGCGCTCGCAAAGTTACTGGTAAGCGTAAATAAACGAATCGTCTCTACCTTTATGTTTTCTATATTTATGCATAAGTGTCAACAGAAAAGGGTTTTGAAAAAAAAAAGGTAGCCATCTTAGAACATGCACAAGCCGGAAGTGCAATCACTTCCACAGTGACTGCAGCAAGAAGAGACGACAAGATGAGCTCAAACAGTGTATATTCTTCTTCCCTTGTAATGAACAACAGTCACCAACGCCGACTTACACGCCCTTCTTTCTGCTGGGCGCACCAACTTCCATGTGATCGCTCTGCAGGAAGCAAGTCCATGACGACGAATGTGAAACAATAGTGGTAATACACTCATTATTATGTTGAAAAGGTTCCACAAAAAGTTGAAAGCATTGGATATGTTGTAAATCCCTGTCGATCCGAGATCCCAACACCTCTTTTAGCAACCCTTCAACTCCGTTTACTGCATCAGAAGACCATCAGTAATACCACTTATTATTTATCAGTGGCTGATAATTTCAACTGAATGTTTTCTATAAGGAACTAGAGGAAGTCACCGCAAACAGATTTCCTTGTAATAAATACACTGTGGATGACTTCAGTGCGAAAATCGGGATGCCAGAAAGGGAAACATAGAATTGGATTGGATTACGACTGCGGAATGAGAACGGTAACCTCCTTGCTGGGCTTTTATCCTCCGCCTTTTGGGAACTCCATTTTTATGAAGAAAGAACATTGGCGTTGGACATGGGAGCCGCCCAACGATACAACTTATGCGGAGCTCTACGCATCGCCACCAACTGATGATGCCTACTGGACGTCAGTGGTCATCCTTTCAGCAGCGGTTCGGATCACCGTCTCCTTCGAGCATAAGGGCGAACCAGCTGAAAGCTGGAAAAGGAGATATGTTACCGTGTCGGAGGAAGGAGAAGAGCCGTTTACGACGTTTTCAAATTCAAAGAGATGCCGATCATTTGTGGCTGGCCCATCGAGAGAGACCTGACAACGACCTGCTTCGCACAGGATTGAAAGCTGTGGTAGAGATCCTCAATGTCTCAAACAAAGGACTTGGACCGCATTTCCACAGCTGCCAAGAATGCTCAAGAGGAGGAGAGCACTACTGGATGCAACCCACTAAATTCGAACGTCCAATATCAGTAGTACTTGCAGAACAACCTTGCAATATCTTCGAATGTACGCGTTATCAAAGGTTTTGAAAACAGCGCAAGGGAGAAGAAAGCTTTGAAAAATCGTTGGAACTTCTCGATTATCATGATCCGCGAACAATATTACTTGATGAAAACCTCCCATATCTTCCCGATAAAAAAAAAAGTAGAACCAATCATGGGGTGATTCAGCTCCTTGCTTATTAGCACTGGTGTTAAGCCCCATTATCTCCAATGGAAAACACACTACGGATTCTACCTGTTAAGTAGCGTCGCAATTCAGACCATGAAAGCAGCTAAGGCTCTCAGACTAGATCACAATACTACCAGCTATAGGTCATCTTCTGCACGAGATGCTTGCAGAGCACCTCACATCCTAATTTAGAAAGGAAAAAAACCCCTCATAGTGGGGAACTCAAACATCCGTCTCCAAGACATTTGCTGCTGGGCATGCTTTATTGGTTCTTCTTTAGAAACAACCTTAGTCGTCAATCGAGAACATTGGATGATCACCCCAAAAAGCAAGTCGGATTCGCAGATGATTCACCAGATCCACCAAACAGTTGATTCTCGCAGTTCGCCAAGAATGCTCACCCCTCCTAACCTTTGGTAATAACAAGAAGGCGTTTGACAGCGTTTAACGCATTACTCTAGCGCTTTTCGAACAAAGGACCAATACTGGAGTATATTGGTCAATTGCTGTGAGGACTGCAAATGATAGTGCCCCTTAGCATATCAGTTGCGAAGGGCTACCGAAAGTATGCAGCGGATGATGAAGTCACCGGATTAGAGCAAGAAGCATACGAGTTGATCTCAAAGCTACACTATGCGGACTTCTCTATTCGAGGAGTATCAA